TAGCAAAGTATCATTTTTTTTTGTTACTTATGATTTAAATAGTAATTACTTTTTTATTTATGGATATTATCAGTTTTACAAAAATCATGACTTCACTAATAAAGGATAACTAGATCATCACCCGTACTACAGTACGGGTTGAATTTCATTTATTACAAAATTTATAAATTTTATGTTTTAGAATAAAGTTGTGATATATTATAATAGTAAGTGAAAAAATAATATTTTTTTGTCAGTCCCTATGTATAATATTAGAATGAATATATTTTCATTTTTCTATAGTATTCAATTATGGATATTTTTTTTTAAGATATGAAAACGGAAAATAAGATTATTAAAAAAAAATAATATTGTTTGAACAATGAGTTAATTTATGTTAACAACCACAAAATGAGAGTGCATATAATTTAGTTAGATCAAAAATCAAAATATCATAAATGAATCGCATCTAAAACGTAGATTATTTTGAATTACCTAAGAAAATTAGCTATTATTTTGAATTAATTTAGGAAATTATTTTTTCAAATTCTGATTCATTGGTTGTTGAAATAAATATTTGTTTGAGCTAATTACGGAATTTACCAATTATTCACATAATCAAATATGTTATGAACATATATTTGGTATATAATAATACCAAATTCAATCTGTGTGTGGAGTCTATATTTTTATTTTACAATCCGTATGAAAATATTGCGGTACAATCTATTATTTATTATTTTCAAAATTGCTTGCAGAATCAAATTTTCAAATATTTAGAAGTGTCAAACTTTATTTAACTCATCTCATCATAAAATCTTAAAATGCCGTCTGTTATAAGGATCATAATTTTCTACCATATAATACATTACATTTAACCCGCCGCCTACTATAAATATTTTAAACATATCTTTTTAGAAAAACAAATTATTGTATTTATAATTTTTTTTATCTTTTTAATCTATTAAATATTTATGATATTCTTTAATATATTAAATTAAACTATTTTAAAATGTTCCAAATTAAAATCTTTTAAAAAATTTAGTGTATTATGTAAAATTATGAATTTTTAAAAAATTATACGAAATTAAATATAAATATTCAAATAGTTATAAGGATCATAACTCATTTCATCATATAATATATTATATTCAACCCGCCGCCTATTATAAATATTTGTTTCAAAAAATCAAATTAGAGTATTTATACTTCATAAATTTTTGATCTATTAAGTATTGATGATATTAAAAAAAAGGAATATATTACTCAAATATGAATTTTTGACCCGTTTTTTTTTTTCTTTCATACATTGAATAATTTATATTCGTTTTAAAAAATTCAAATTTTGGTATATGCGGAAAAAAATTACTTTTTTTTTTATTATATAGATGATATAATGATTTATTTATTTATAGAAATAGAATCATATAAAGATGAGAGGTGAAGTATAATGATTAATAACAAATTAATATGGTAAGTTAGATATCAAATCTTATATGTTCATTTTGATTGGTCATTTTTTTTAAAGAAATTAATAATAGATTTTCGTTTTTATAATTAAATTAAATTAATTAAATTGCATAAAATAGTATTTGACTTGTTTAACCTTAATGAGTTGAATTAATTTACTCTATAAAATTTTATTTCTAATGGCATTCTTAAGTAAATTCTTACAAAGGAGAAGGTTAATTAAGGGTAATCCATAAATTGTACTCCCCAAATAATAGTATAGGATGTCCATTAAGATTTGATGAAAACATTATGGCTTCTCACTGTGTAGTGTGTAAGGTGTAACTTTTTAATATGTACATTTTGGTTGACTTTTTCATTATTAATGTATACTCATATATATTGTTTAGTTGTTGACTTTTAAAATCATTTATTATGTTTCCAGCAATTTGAACTGTCCATTTATTTTCATATTTGTGACTTACCAAAAATATAACTTTTCATTGTTCATTAATTTATTAATAAGGTTGACTTGTTGGAACTTTGGACTTATATTTCATATTACTAGATTTATATTTACATTAGGTTTCTAAACCTAACCCGGATGATGAACCAGACTATCTTCTGGATCACTGAGTTCGACCACATGTCAATTGATTAAAATTTCGCTGATGTATTTAATATTTATAGAGATTATATAATTATATATATATATAACAAAAATAATCATATATTTAAAAAATATGAAGTCTAACAATAATATAAAATGATTAAATTTTTTAAACCGTAAAGAATATTAAAATAGTAAAATAGTGAATACGAAAAACTGAAAAAATTCTAAGAATAACTGGATAGTGAAAAGCGAATACACTAAAAATCTAACACCTATATTTTATTTCAAAATCAAATGAATTTTTTTGAACCGATACCCGATCGGTTCAAAAGGTTCACTGGATCGCGGGTTAATGGCGAGTTTTTGTAGGTTTTCCTGTTTTTAAATTGCCTAGCACTAAAACCCTGTTTTCATTTAAGTCAACTTATATGTTGTTTTATTTTTTCATCTATTTATTTATTCCCGATATATTTTTTCCGCTGATTTACTTATTTAAAATATTATTTTCAACTTAGAAAACCTTTTCTAATTAGAAACTAAACATAATGTAAATTAAATGCTCCTATATAGGAGCATTTCTAAGAGATAATAAGTCCAATTTAATTATAACTAGGTGTAGAACGATTTTTATTCTCTCTAAATTTTGGTTAACATTTTGTAATAATATTTTTCTTTGTTGTTTTGCTTATCTTGAATATATTTGATTTACTATTATAACTATAAAACATATTCCGCAACTCATGATTAAAAAAAAACATATATCAGCATATTTCAGACTAAGATATCGATCTTATGATTTATATATCATAGTGTAGGTTTTAGGGTTTAGGTGATGTTAAATATCATACTCTCTTATGAACTTGGTGGTTATCACAATGTTACAACAATAAGAAGACGAGTGAAGAGAATGAACATCAAGGTACGAAAGTATATTTGCTTTGGTTGAAGAAAAGAGCAAATGTAATGTAGTAATCCTATATATTGGCTTATCTAGAAGAAACTTAAGTCTTAAGTGTCCCAAGTATAATCTGCAGAGAAAAAAGAGAGATTGTTGTTTTCGTAGTCTCATTTGTAACTTATGCCGTAGCTTTCAACTTGTGAGTAGAAATTGAAAGCAATGTCTAATTTCATAGGTATTTTGATTAAAAAGAGATTGGAAGAACCAAAGTAACACTTAGAATAGAAGGTTTTGTGTTCCAGAATTTAATGGCATACAAAATTCGAAGATAATTTTAAAGAGATAGACTTTGAGTTTCAAGTTTTACCAATACAATTTTATTAATACAATTTTTTAGTTTTACTAGTTTTCAGAATAATTATATATTTAAAACTAGGTTATCACCCCCGCGTACTTTTATTGATTGTTTTAATATATTTTTGGGCTTATTAATCAATTAATTACAATAATGTTTCATTTTTTAAAATTTTTTAGCATAAATGTTGGTTTAGTTATATTTTTAGTATTATCTATGAAAATTTTATTTTAATAAAAGAAAAGCTTATAGGATAAAGGTTAGTATAAAACATATTACAAATATGATGTGTCATATTTTACTCAAGTATATAAAAAAGACTGCAAAATTTTAATAATTAAAATGATTTAATATCCAAATATCAAACTTGAAACATGAAATTACCAATCACCATTTAAATGAAATGAAACAAATGAATAAAGTTACACATATTACATGTATATATTGTATACCTTTTTTTAATTTTTTCACATACCTCTTGATTGATTATTCTATTCTAATTTTTTTATTTTTTTTATCCCAATTATAAAATTTCTATTTTTCTTGCTTCAATTTCTTGCCATTCTTTCAATTTTATAAATAATTTATTTTAAATAACAAACCGAATCAAACTAAACCAAATTAATCTAAACCGAAAATGAGTTTGATTATAGACTTGATGTTATATAAAAAATCGAAATAACTGAATCAAATTTAACTTGACATCAAACTAAAATACCCCTAATTGTGATTAAGAAGGGATATTGCCAAATTTGGTGAGACTAATAATGATATTATTTTATATCTTCTAATAACAAAATTTTTACATTTTTCTTTTTTGCAGATGTTTTTTATAAGTTTACATTTTTCTAGTTTCCATAGATATTGTTTTTTTTTTACGTTTTTTGTAAGTATCTTAATTTTCTATTGATATTATTTTATATATTCTAATAATTAAATTTGAAAAATTTTGTTTTCACATATGTTTTTTTTTTCTTATTTTTACATTTTTCTTGTTATATATATATATATATACATATTTATTTATTTATTTTTTTCCTTTTTATAAGTATATTAATATAGAAAATTATTGGAATCTAAAATTACAAATTACTGAGATGGCTATTTGTGATTAGTCTTTTAAAATTTTGTGGACAGTTTCAGAAGCTTATAGCTTCGACTTTTATGTAGTATAGAAGCTAGTGGTTTCGACTTAAGCTATGAAATTTTATATCTTTTAGAACTTCAAATTTATAGAATCATGGTCTCCGATAGCTCTAAATTTATGAAGATTTTAGATTACAATTTACAAATACATAATCAAATAACATCAAACCTTGATAGAGTTTTGAAAAATCTTAAATTGAATAAAAATAGAATCTTTATAATATTTAAATCTACTCCTTCATACTTGTCCTCTTATGGATGATAAAAAGATACTCGAAAATAATATGGACAATTACAAAACAAAACAAAAAACAGCCATCTTTATATAATTGTTATCTTTTAAGAATTACCTTTTTGCTTCTCTTTCTCTTCTTCTTCAATATATAATTCTTTTCACTTTTTTTTTATTTGATTTCTTTTCATTCCACATGCGAACAACTTTTCATGCATATATTTAACATATAAAAATTAACAATATCCACACAAAAAAATAATTTGAAAGCTACATAAATTTTAGGATCAATAATACCTTGTAATTGCTTTAAAAGTCACAATTGAATGAACCTAGACTCGATTCATTAGTGTAACATGAAATACAAATCAAACCGTCTAAAATCAGCAAAATTAAACAATATTTGTATATAGTTCATAGAGAAAAAAAAAATATGTAGCACGAGGAAAAAAATCAAAGCTGCATAATAGTAAATTCGTTTGAAACTGAATACTAATTGTGTGGTGATTTGAGAGAGACATTTAGATATGGAGATAACACTCCATGCATTCCTCAATGGTATACTCCTTCTTCTTGACCGATGCATTCACTGGAATCTTCTTGCGATAACGGCGGGTTTTGGTCTTTCCAGGTTCGATACGTCCTTTGAAGATAGTTTCCAGTTTATCAGCTTGAGGAATATGTCTCCATCTGAACACTGCAGCTTTTTTATTTACCTATAAATCGACAAAAAAAAATATAATTACCAATTGATATTATAAGAAATCTAAGTAACGTTTTCTTTACCTTCAAGTATTTATCCCAGTCCTCTTCGGTTGCACCAAACTTGCGAGTATTAGCATCCCACTTCATGATGGGAGAGGCAATAGTTTGACACCAGTGCCTCCAAGCTTTCCTGGTACGTTCGAAGTGGTTTTTGAGCTGCTTATGTGTGTATCCAAGTCCTGTGATCCGATTGATTATCTCAAGAATCATTTTCCAAGCTTCCTTTGTGTAAAGTTGGTTACGTCTGATTGGTCTGTTTCCTTTAAAAGACTCTTGGACACACACGTCCACAAAAATCGCATGTGAGGATGGTGGCCACTTATACCGACGACGAATCGCGATATCAGACACGCTTAGCTTAGCTACATATCCAGATCCAGTATCATTTTCTTCATCACGATGCTCGCATATTTGCATCATTTTGTTACCTGAAGAAGTACCTTCACCATCTAAGTTAATACCTGCATAGATAATCTCTAGTTTCTTGAGGAACAAGGGAGGATTACAACGATACTGTCCAGCCTCAGGATTCACCTGTGACAAAAATCCAATCAAGTACTTTTTATTACATATATATTAGCCTTCAAAATCAACACAAAAAATTGTTAATTTGTACCTTGGTACAGGTCAAATTAACTCCTAAAGCCTACTCTCTCAAATAAGAGATCTGTTGCAGTACTTAAGGCTCGAATTCCACAAAGTTCTTTTGTTCACACAATAAGTTATAAGTCTCGAAATTAGGCTAAACAAAATAATTAAAATTAAAATAAAACAAAAGCAAGCAATGATTATCGGGTGAAAAGATCAATTAAAGCGTCAGGATTAGGAAAATTCTCAGGAAATAAACTATTAGTAAATCTAGCAAGTTAATTAGGATTATTTAATGAACCGTTCTTGAACTCAAATCACTAATGAATAGCTAACCACCTCTCGATGCGATAACTAACAAGCCTAGTATTAGTAATTCCACCTCTCGATGCGAATTTCTAGATCTAGACTAGCATTAAATTCAGGTTTGATATGTTCACCTTAGTAGATAGGCCGATTCTTATTACACACCTATAAACCAGGCTCATCTAAAGTAGTTCTAGTAACAGGTGCCCTCTCGGATCAAATACCTATTATCCTAAGATCAGGTTCTAGTTAGCTACTCTAGAACAAGCATTAAGAACAACCTAGATGAAGAACTCTATGGATTAATCCTAACAGATAATTGATTTACTAGTTCATCTAAATCCCTAATGAGAATCCCTAAACCTAACAGGGAGATTACTCAGACATGATTAATGAAACAGAAAACATGTTGAATAAATTGCAAAATAAGAAATTAAAAGAAGAAAAGAGTTTAGAATAAATCTTCTCTCTAACAAGGTATTGAATCTCTGAAAAGTTGCTCTCTCCAATTATATTCCAAAGGGTTCAAGCTCAGAGAATTACAAAAGCAAAAGACAAGATAATGAAATAGAAAAACCCTAAAAACTATTTATAAAGTCTCAAAAACGTGCAGGGACTAAAATTGTAAATAGGGAAGTCTTCTGGGTAAATTCCGCGGGCTTTAAAATTCTAAACCGTCGAGACTTCTTACTGGGCCGTGTTTGGTGTCTTAGAGAATAATCCAATTTGTAAACCATAAAATATAAATGTCTTAGAGAATAATATAATTTGTAAACTTTTATATATATAATAAAAAATCGTTAAATTTTTAATATTACTACTTTTAGAAAAAAATCACGGGACGGGTTAAGAAATTACAAGATGGGTTATATTTCGGAACGAGATTATATGATAGACAAGTTTGAATCAATATTTATAAAATTTTAAAATATTATTAACATACCGCTTTAATACAGATTAAATCCTCAGTTTATTAAAATATAAATGTCTTAGAGAATGATACAATTTGTAAACTTTTATATATAATAATAATCATTAAAATTTAAAATCACTACTTTTAGAAAACAAATCACGGGACGGGTTAAGAAATTACGGGACGGGTTATATTTTGGAACGGGTTTATATGGTAGACGGATTTGAATCAATATTTATAAAATTTTAAAATATAATTAACATGCCGCTTTAATACGGATTAAATCCTCAGTTTATTAATAATTGCCCCGTGGACTCGTGATATACCATTATTTAATAACAATTGTAAACTATAAATATAATAAGGAGATACAATTTGCAAAATTTTATATATGCTAAATTAAAAAATAAATCATCCCGCGATGTACCACGGGTTAAAATCTAGTATATTTTAAAATGATGGTCTTAAAGCAACTACCAAAAAAAATTGGAAAATAATTAGCTTGGTTTGGAAGCCCCCTTAATCCATTGGTTTGAATAAGGGTTAATTAATGTTTCTACACCAAGAAGTCTGGGGTTCGAGTCCCATATATTGCGATTTATTATAAATTTGCAGATTAAAGGAGGCAAGTGTGCAAGAGATCTCCAGCGAAGTACAATTATAGCCGTTCGCCAGGATTTACGCAGAGAGAGAAGTGTCGTCATGTCGTGGATCATTGAAGGTGTCCGTCAAGAGCATGGAGAAGGAAGTGTCGTCTGTCGTGGATCTAATAAGGGTCGGAAGGAATTGTCCGTTGTAGAATCGTCTATGTAACAGTTCTCATAATTTGCAATAAATAATAAATCTAGACGGCAAAAAAAAAAAATCAGCTTGGTTTAGTCTCCAACAAATTATATGTAAAATAATGCAGACCTAAAATTCATATCGACAGAAACATAGAAGGAAGAAAAAAAATAATGATAATTTTTTTTTTTTTTTTTGACATCTTTGGATCGACAAGACCCGATCCATAGCCAATTCCTACTACGCGGGGTAACGCGACTTAGTGGAGTCGAACTCCGGTGGGGAAGGCGGAGTCAAGTGGACTTAACCATTTGACTAAAGGCACATCCCAAAAAAATAAAATAAAATAATAATAATAATGATAATTAAAATCTTTATTTTACCATTTTACTAAATTCATCGATGAAAGCATTCAGATTGGATGACGTGATTTGAATAGGAAATTAGGAAAGTCTGGAAGTATGATTTTAGATCATAGGAAATTTTTGAACAACAATGAGAAATTTCTTAAATACTGTTAATGTATTTTTTAACATATAATTTTTCTCAACTGTTAATGTATTTTTTTCTCAACCTATTGTTAATGTATTTTTTTATCAACATATCATTAATATATTTTTTCTATTGTTAACACATTTTCTTCCAACATTTATTTTTTCTCAACTGTCAACATATCTTCTCCTGACATTTATTTTTTCTCAACTGTCAACATATTTTCTCCTGACATTTATTTTTTTCTAAACTACTAGCGTATTTTCTTTGAAATACTATAATATATTTAAAAAGTAGTATTAAATGTCGGTAGACGATCTGTTGTAAAACTGGTTGTTAAGTAAAAAGGACAACGTATAAAAAAAATTCATAAAAATTTTTGTGTGAATTTCGTCCTTATGTCACAGTTTAACACTATCTTTAGTATCTTCTTGTAGTAAGTGATATGCCCCAATGATTGACTGTAGAGACGTAACACAATCTTTTCGATGATCTCATTTTTGGCCTTCGGATTCTCTGACTACCAAAAATAAAATTGTTTAAACTTCTGCAGCACCTCTTTGTATCACTATTTTAATATCGGGACAAATTGAACAAAACAAAAATATCGAAAAGGCCAAAATATTTTTTGTTAAATACATACTAAAATAATGGCAGCAAGAAACCTGATGATTAAGGTGGAACGGTGAACAACAGAACAAAAAAGAAAAAGGTGGAGAAGTTTTGGTGGCAAGTGATCTGCGAAAATGGGTTTACGTGTTGGGAGCAGTTTCTCACTTTGTCTACGTGCTCCACTACTCTTCACGTGTCTTCGTGCCTCACGATGCCAATCTCTAGTTTTGACGGCGACAAATAATCTCTTATTAACTTTAAAATATCAATATGATCAATGTAATGCATGCACAAAGATGTTATGATCCATTGAGAATAATTTCTGCATTTATTTTAGAGTTGTATTACAGAAATGATACAGATTATTTACATGCATAGAGTTCGATCTAGCATAACAAAAAGTAGGTAGTGGTAACCAAATAACTGTGGATCCTAAAAGGGTTTAGTAATATCCCATCACTGATTTAATTCAGTGTATGCTTTTACTAGGTACGTTTTACAAAAAATATGTTTTAAAAAGCTTAGTTTTGGTGACATATGTAATTAACAATTTGATTCTTCCAACTACCAAGGTTATATGTAATATATATATATATATATATATATAAAGATTTTAATTTCTATATAAAATAATTCTCCCTCTGTTCAATTTCTTTGTAGTTTACCGAATTTTTTATTGTATGCAAAATTTTATTACTTTTTCATTGCTTTTGATTGTTTGTATTATGCAGAGTATTTTATTATTTGTTGAATATCTTATTTTTAAATAAAAAATGATGTTTTAATATAGAAAATACAAATCATTTACATAATATATGTAATTTTTTAAATGTGTGTGAAAAACTTTTAAACTACAAATAAACTGAAACAGATGAAGTAAAAATATGGATTGTGATCACTTGAAGATCATGTATCTTTGAAATTGTGTTGACAAAAAAGAAATGGTCTAACGAATGGTACACAAATTTAATGATTAATCGATCAATATTCTGTCATTCACTAACATATTTCTTTCCCAAACCACTAACCACTGAAATCAGTACAATAATATTTAAGGAAACTAATTACTTTTGTATTTGATAGAATATAAAACGAAAGAAAACGGAAAGTTAGAATATTAAGTGATTTGTAAAGTTTTTAAGCTATGTCACTTGAGTGTGTAGTGAATAAAATACTTTGGTCTTAAAGTAGTAGTAGCAACTATAAACTGATTACTGATTAGTATAGCAATAGAAAACAATTAAAGCAAAACTGCATGTAAAAATAAAGACAAGTGTCCTAAAGGTAACACAATCTTCATGCTTTTCACACACTTCTGCTAGGCTACTAGCTTACAAGTCACCTCGATCGAATATTCCGCCCATCAACATAATAAATGTTGAAATTTCTTACTACTATTAAAACATACAAAATTGGCGGCGTAAAAAGGAACAATATTAATTCTTCTTCTCATTCTCATTATTTCCATCTTCAAAAAATTTCGTGAAGCTTTATAAGACCAAAAATATTCTTTCCTTCTTTGCATTTTCAATATCTATCATTTAATGCTAACAATTTTCTCCTAATGAAATGAAATCTTTATTATTCGTTTTTGAGTTATATAATTTGTTTTAGCTCATACTAAAACACATTGTTCGATGCCTCCACTTCTCCGGTTTAGAAAACTATCGTCCTTCTCTGAAGATACCATTAGCCCTAAAGCCAAACAATCGGCCACCGTCGAGAAACCTAAACGACGTCGTTCCGGGAGATGTAGCTGCGTTGACTCATGTTGCTGGTTGATTGGTTATCTCTGTACGGCTTGGTGGCTTCTATTATTCCTCTATCACTCTGTTCCGGTCCCGGCGATGCTTCAAGCTCCGGAGTCTCCGGGAACTCGGTTGAGTCGAGACGGTGTCAAGGCGCTGCATCCGGTTATTCTTGTTCCGGGTATTGTAACCGGCGGGCTCGAGCTTTGGGAAGGTCGGCCTTGCGCTGAAGGACTCTTTCGTAAACGTCTTTGGGGTGCTAGCTTCACCGAGATTCTTAGAAGGTAAGAAATTAGACCGTTATGTATGTTTGGTTCGAGAAATTTAAGACCCGGTTAGGCATTGGTTTGGTTCGTTCGGTTAGGGTGTAACGTATTCTCGGTTAAGTTTAGTTTCTTCTTGAATTGGCTTTAGGTAGTGTCATTTGGTTATGTTTGAGATGGTTCTTTGTCAATGGTCTCATGGTCTTTGGATTCTCATTTGGTTATGTTTGAGATGGTTCTTTGGGTTTTCATATTGTTCAGCAACTAGTTTTGTAAGACTTAAATGTCTTGAATATTCAGTTCTGAGTTTGATGAATGATTTCAGGAAATTAATAATTATTCGTAATTTTTTTGGATATCATTTTTAATTGTCATTGGAAATGGAAACCGTAAGATTTGATTTCTTTACAGTAAGTAGAAAATCGTCCTACAAAACTATAGAATATATTATGTCCAAAGTCCAAACCATGCAATGACTAAAAATATCAGTTTTAAAAACTTACTAAATTTAGAATATCAGTTTTTAACATATTATTTTAGTATTTAAAAATATCAAATATTTTTGGTTATGGTTTTTAGATGGATTAAATAAAAAAATAAAAAAGAAGAAGAAGAAGAAGATGGATTGTTACGGTTTTTGATTAAAATGAGTTTCTGGTTAGCATTTTAGATTTTCTCAGTTATGAATTAATCCAGTTTGAAGTGTATACTTGATCGTTTAATTGTTGTAATTTGATTTATAGGCCATTGTGCTGGTTGGAGCACTTATCTCTGGACAGTGAGACTGGTCTCGACCCACCGGGAATCCGAGTCCGAGCAGTCCCAGGACTGGTGGCTGCTGACTATTTTGCACCGTGCTACTTTGCTTGGGCAGTTCTCATAGAGAATTTGGCGAAAATTGGATATGAAGGCAAGAACCTTCACATGGCCTCTTATGATTGGAGACTCTCTTTCCATAACACCGAGGTGCTCAGATTAGTCGGTATCGATACCTATATGATCATTTTGACAACACTTGTCTAGAGAACTATGATAATGATATAAGACATTGATGATTACTCTTAGCTACATTAGTATATGTAGTTACAGATTGTTGTATAGATTGGCTTGTGTTTGGACTTTGGACTAATCTATACTTTTGATATTGGACCTGAGCAGGTACGTGACCAATCATTAAGTAGACTGAAGAGTAAAATCGAGCTAATGTATGCCACCAATGGGTATAATAAAGTGGTGGTGGTTCCACATTCAATGGGGGCTATCTATTTCCTTCACTTCCTTAAATGGGTTGAAACACCTCTTCCTGATGGAGGCGGTGGTGGTGGTCCAGGTTGGTGCGCCAAACACATCAAATCTGTCGTCAACATTGGACCCACCTTTTTAGGTGTCCCTAAAGCTGTCAGTAATTTGCTTTCCGCCGAGGGCAAAGATATCGCTTACGCCAGGTTAGGTTCATCAACATTTTGAAGTTACTTTCACTTGTTATATATTAGTATTCATAAGAATTGTAAACTTCTTCTTGATTGGGCATCAACTATATCTCGGTTTTCATCAATTTCTTTTAACATTTTTAGGCTGTCTCTACTGAATATTTGAATTGGCTTAATGTATTTTGATTGGTCATGTTTGTGGTTCAGATCTTTGGCTCCCGGTCTCTTGGACTCGGAACTTCTCAAGCTGCAAACACTTGAACATCTTATGCGGATGTCACATAGCTGGGATTCAATAGTTTCTTTATTACCAAAAGGCGGTGAGGCAATCTGGGGCGATCTAGACTCGCACGCCGAAGAAGGCCACAATTGTATTTACTCCAAGAGAAAATCATCGCCGCTATCGCTAAGTAATCTCCATAGACAAAACTATAGCATTAAACCGGAGTCTCGGGTGAAAGAACCCGCGAAGTACGGAAGAATCATATCTTTTGGGAAACGAGCAGCTGAACTGCCTTCTTCACAACTCTCTATGCTAAACATCGAGGTTATATTAAAAAAAATTCCATGGTTCTGCCTTTTTCCGGGTCAATGGAATCTAACTACACTACACTCTTTTTATTGTGTATGCTTAACAGGAACTGTCAAGAGTAGACTGCACTTCAAACGTCAGTACATCATGTGGAGAGTTTTGGTCGGAGTACAATGAAATGAGCCGAGATAGCATAGATAAAGTAGCAGAAAACACAGCTTACACGGCCACCACTGTTCTTGATCTTCTCCGATTTATAGCCCCAAAGATGATGAGACGAGCCGAAGCTCATTTCTCTCACGGCATTGCTGATGATCTCGATGACCCTAAGTATGGACATTATAAGTACTGGTCTAATCCACTCGAGACCAAGTAAGTCCAAAACATTGTCCCATTGTCCTTACTGTTTATAGCTAGTAGGGATGCTATCATGCATGGTCAAACTGGCCTGGCCTCACACACTTTAACTCTTGTCTTTTAAAGTTTGATCCCGGCCTGATTTGAGCTAGCGGTTAAACATCAAACAAAGAATAGATATTGGCGCCTTGGCTGGCAAGAAGATCTAGGTCAGTCCCAATTGTCCCATGTGGCATTGCAACAAACGGGGTGGTTGGGATTAACCTTGATATTTATGGGGTCAGCCTGTTCATGGCTGGTCCGCGGACATCTTTTTCATGTGACAACATCCCTAATAGCTAGTAAACTTAAGAACTAATAAAATAAATCTACAATGGCTGGAATTTTGATACCTTGTTCTTTCCCCTAACAGATTACCGGATGCACCAGAGATGGAAATGTACTGTCTTTACGGAGTAGGGATTCCGACTGAGAGATCTTACATATACAAGCTCGCAACCTCTTCCAGTAAATGCAAGAGCAGCATTCCCTTCCGGATAGATGGTTCTGTGGATGGAGATGACGTTTGTGTTAAAGGAGGAACTCGGTTTGCGGATGGAGACGAGAGTGTACCTGTCATAAGTGCGGGCTTTATGTGCGCAAAGGGATGGAGAGGAAAAACACGGTTTAACCCGTCGGGGATGGAGACATTCGTGCGGGAATACAAACACAAGCCGCCAGGAAGTCTACTAGAAAGTCGAGGAACGGAAAGCGGAGCTCATGTAGACATAATGGGTAATGTTGGACTCATTGAAGATGTTTTGAGGATAGCTGCTGGAGCTTCAGGCCAGGAGATTGGTGGCGATAGAATTTACTCGGATGTGATGAGGATGTCGGAGAGGATTAGCATCAAGTTGTGAAACAATTAGGAAATTAACAATTTTGTATTGTCTTGTATAAAATATAATCAATATAAAGAATCGTTAAAGATTAATTTTTGGTAGCGTTTTTTTTTTTTAGTAGAACCCTTAAATAAAAAAATACATCACTGTAATGATCTTGAAACAAATCAAATTCTTTGAAGCACGATAAGGTATTGCATCCCTGGTTTGGCATTGGCAAGTTGAGGAAGTATTTCTTGTGTCTTTGGCTTGACAACTTCAAACGTTTTCTCCATGACATGTTGACCAAATTGTGAAGATACAATTCCTCCAATAGTGACCTTAAATGAGACCGTCAAAAACTCGGGGTCTAATGGAATCTCCTCGTTTTCGTGGCTGATTGTATCGTACCTCTCTATTGTGTAACACCCATTATCGTCGATGATTTGCTTTATCTCACCCGCGTAGGCAACATAGATAGGCAATTTGAAAGTGTCAAGCTTTTCTTGATCAATCAGGCCCTTTTTTTTTGGTTATAAGTCGTTAACAAATCAAAGTCAAATATGTTAGTAACGATTATTATTACTCATATAGTAATATTATATGAAATTGTTTATTTTATTTTACTTTACCTCTTTAGCTATGTCATTAAGAGAAGATTCAATGCAATCTATCATCATTCCATTTAATGTTTCAGACATTTGAACTCCATTTGGTAGACATATGATCCAAGAAGCAACAGCAATCCACCGGAGACGAGCTCTTGAGCTCTAGCATTCAAGAAACTCCCCATGTCAATCTTGTATTGATCAAGATATACTTTCACAACTTCTTTTGAGAATCCAGTGCAGTGAATGTCCTTGTTCCACCCATGAGAATCGCGGTCTTTAATTTCTTTAGGAATCTTGGATACGAAATGGAGTGAGTAAGAAGACTCCCACATGGAGACTATTTTTAGGAAGAACACGACCAAAGAAAGAACCTGGTACTCCACTTGCAAAATATTTTCTAGCCGGAGGAAGTGTCTTGAAGAGAGTATTGAAATCGTTGTTTGAAGAATCGTTGAAGAAAACTTGGAATTTGATTTCATCGAGAGAACTTTCTTTTTGATACTTATGTTCCACGGTATCTATTATGGTTTGTACCGCTTTGAAAGTGTTAGGTCCAGTGGAACAACCGAAATCCGCTATGTTGACAAGATTTGAAGTGAAGTCGATATCGAGTTTTGTGGAGATGGCTTCGTTGATCTTCTCCTTTGCTACTTCAAGCAATCCTCCCTATGAACCATCAATATGTTGCTATCAATATCTTAAAACTGAAAATTGACAAATGTTAATAAAAACTAAAAAGTTGAAACTATATTTCTATCCATAGAAAAGTGACAAATGCTCTATCTAATAATAAACACCTGATATTTTGAATGTTGTCGGTAACTGTCGGGACCTTCACCGCCGATCATCGTGAATGAGGTAGACATAACTCTTGTTTTGTGATAATTCTTTTCTTTGTTTGATTTTTTCGATCGTGTCTATTTTTTGTTGTTGTTGAGATGATTATATAAGGTACAAGTGCAAGACTTTGTGTTTATGTATGAATTGGTCTTCCTTTAGGGTTTGTTAAATAGAAAAATGAAGAAAGAAATCGAATTTATTATATGCTTACAAGTTACAATATTAAAACACCGTGTAATAACGTCACGTATGTGTTACTCCAGTTAAAATATTTTGTGTAAGCAGCCTCTCAATATGGACTTTTCTTCCAACTTTTGGTTTAAAGATCAACGAACTTAACGAAACACAAATTTAATATAGTGTAGTAGGATTTAATGAATAATATTAGGAAGAAGAACTAATTACGCTATGTGATTACCACTGATTGGTACAAGAAATCATTAATAACGAAATATACGTAACTATTGGGTTTGGTTTGATGTTCTAATGAAGTAGAAAAAGTGAATTAGTAAACTGTGTGGATGAACCCATAATTTGTGTCATATTCTCAGCACTTTCAATCTCAATTGGATGTTACCGTCAAACAGTGAAATGAAACACAAAAGTCTGAATCTTCGATTCCCCAAAAAAAGCCAAACCTCAAACAACAAACCGGAACAAATAATTTTCGGGCAGTTTTCTTATTTTTACGTGCGTGGATCCCGTCCATATTGACGTCCTTCTCTTGTTGCCACCTTCGGTTCAGAGCCATCAATAGCGATGTTCCCTACACCAGCCTCCATTGCCTCTCTTTCGTCCTTTTCCTTTTCTCTGTTCTCATTTGCTGGTCCTTCTCCTTTCGGTTGTTGCGGTTTCAATGATGGTTCCAGTAATCTTGGGCCTGGATTGAACCATGGGTGTGTTAGGCATTGGGCGGCTGTTGGTCTCTTCTCAGGCACAAATTCAAGAATTGGGACTAAGAAATCTGCCATGTCTTTTGCGTCCTGCTCGCTGAAATCATATTTCTCCTTCAAGACTTTGCTGATGGGCCAAAACCGCAACCGCCGGATGTGCCTTAGTTCACCTTGTCGGTTGAAAAAATCCCGCGAGTATCGACCACCTAATGCAATCTACAGTTGAAAACAAACAAAGCTCATCAAAATGAAATTAGGCGCTACTGTTTATCTGAGTTTGAACCATCAAAATTTGCAGTCAAATGTAGCCGAAAAAAAAACTAATATCCAATATTAATATGTTCATGCAATATTCTTATATGGTCACAACACAATGACTATGTTTACCAGCTTTACCTTTCGTGGCATCATCCCGAGAAGCTCCATCATCAATGCCAGGTGATCCTGAAACAAAGGCAACCAGTTTAAGACTGTGCATAAGAATGATACAACTTAGCTCTTCATACAAAACTGGCATAAAAAGTGAATATATATGAAGATACCTCATCCCGGTCATAGTTTTCGCCGCTGTGAGGATCAAATAGGACATCTCCGGTGGCCAGCTCGAAACAAATACAAGCAAAGGACCACATATCTGCAGAGGTTGAGTATTTTGATCCAAGAACAATCTCCGGACATCGGTATTGCCTTGTCTGAATATCGCTTGTGAACTGTTTATATGTCCAACAAGCATTACCAAAATCTACTAATTTGCATTTGCACTCTATATCACTCAGTAATTTCTGCCTTGTGGTTCGGCTTCCTCTCCTACTACCCCGACCATTCTTTTTGTTAGCCTTCTCTCTGGCTTCTTCATCTTCCATTAATCTTGTGGAACTTCCTTCCGATCTCTCTACGGTGGAATTGCCATTTGTTCTTGCTTCGGAGTTAGAATGTATTGCATTTTCTTCGGAAGCTTCCTCTCCACCACAATCTTGAGCCACCACCACCTTCTTCGCTTTCTTACGAATCTTCTTCTTCTGATTCTTTGTCAAATCCCCATCATACGTATAACTCTTAGTTTCAGGTTTAGCAGCTGACTCAGAAACAATTTTATCCTTGGTGGTTGGCAGAACAAGTGGAACACCCGACCTCCGAGCATCTCTTGATGGATCAATCGTAGACAAAAGCAAAACATTCTCCGGCTTTAAATCAGTATGAATAATAGAGAGCTCACGGTGAAGATAATCCAACCCAACCAAAATATGAAAACAGAGCTCTTTAACCATGTGAAGAGGAACCCCTCGGTAATCACTGTACTTAATAACTGACAAAAGGTTATCTCCCAAATACTCAAAAACCATACAAACATGTTTCCCATTAGGACCCGAATGCTTGAAATGATCCAGTAGCTTTACAACACATTTCTTATCACCCGGGTCACCTTCAGCAATCTGTTTCAGAATCTTAATCTCATCCATCGCTGCCTCTGTATAGTGTTGAGCACTCTTCTGAACTTTCAAAGCTACATAACGCTACACACAAAATGAACTTTCAAACCTCACACATGAAACTAATAGCCCAAATGATCTATGAATAACCAACCTATCCCAGGTAATCTACGACTAAAGATCAACTTTCAGCATTTTCCTACGACAACTCGAACAAGCATTACAGTCAAAAGAGTCATATATACTAAGAAACCTAATAAAGAAATCATTTTTATGCTCTAAATTGGTTCTCTAGCCCTAAAAACAACTCATCCCGGGTAATCTAAGACTAAAGATTCAACTTTCAGCATTTTCCTACGACAACTCGAACAACTTCCTCAACCACATTATAGTCAAAGAGTTTTATATACTGAGAAACCTAATAAAGAAACCATTTTTATGCTCTAAATTGGTTCTCTAGCCCTAAAAACAACTCATCCCGTAATCTAAGACTAAAGATTCAACTTTCAGCATCTTCCTACGACAACTCGAACAACTTGCTCAACCATAATACAGTCAAAGAGTCATATACACTGAGAAACCAAATAAAGAAATCATTTTTATGCTCTAAATTGGTTCTCTAGCCCTAAAAACAACACATCCCGGGTAATCTAAGACTAAAGATTCAACTTTCAGCATTTTCCTACGACAACTCGAACAACTTCCTCAACCAAATTACATTCAAACAGTTTATATACTGAGAAACCTAATAAAGAAATCTTTTTTATGCCCTAAATTGATTCTCTAGCCCTAAAAACGAAGAGGGTATAAGTCACATACCGATTCTTGAGTGTCCCAAGCAAGCCAAACAGTAGAGAAATGTCCCCAACCAAGCTTACTCTGAATCACATAAGCTCCATTTTTAAAAGTATCACCAACTCTCACGACATGGTATCCTCCTTTCTTATAATCCTCTGTACCTTCGTCCTCCGACGAGTATTCAGTTTCGTCGTTCACACGTCCGCCGTTTTTGTCCTCCGCCATAGCCCTAACTTAATGGATTCAGAGAGAGCAAATCTGAATCTCAATTTCAACAAAACCCTAGAAAATTCGTGTATAACGAATTGGAAAATTGACTGATGTTACAAAAAAGAATCTGATGGAATCAATTTCGCTAAATCAAGAAAATAAATTACAATGGAGTAATAAGACAATTTGGTGAATCGATCGAAAATTGGACGAAGATGATGATTGGAATAGTCCAGAGAGAGGTCGTTGGTGTTGTGTCTCGTTGGTTTGGTAGTTAGGAATTTGGTTTGCAAATTAGGGTTTTTCTTTCTTCGTTTAGTCTCAAGAGAGAAACTGTTTTGGTTGGACCGGTTTAACCGTTAAACTAGACATATGATTTGGTTTAGTCCACACTCCACAGTCCACACTATATGTTAGATTATCTCCAACGGGAGATCTAAATAGGGTGTCTAAACCCAAAAGACCTAAAAATTAAATCAAAACTGAATAAACACATTAGACTCATTTCTATAATTGGATTTTTAGAACTCGTTCAGATACGCATACGTGTCAATTCTTGGTTGGTGGAAGTATGTGTATTAGACAGAATTTTTTTTTTGGCTCGTGTTTTCTCTCTTTCTTTACATTTTCTTTCGCGACTCTCTTTCTCTCTCTTGCTTATTTGTCGCCGATGGCGAAATCGGAACAAACATGTCTGAATCAATTGATTTGAGAGCCGAATTAAGTTATTTTGAAAGATTAAGCAGTTTCTGTTGGTAGTTCTTAGCCATGATTGAAGAAGAATTTAGGCATTGTTGCTTGAATTCGATAAGTAATTGCTTATGTCCGCATGATTAGTTAGATTTGATAATTTTTAACTTGGATTTCATATGAATCTATATGTTTTTCTTGAGGTTAACTTTTGTTTATTGATGTTTGGTTGCATTTGATATTTGTTAGCTTGAATTTGATATGAATCTTTGTTTTTCTTGAGGTTGATTGAAAGAGAAACTACGAGAGATGGTCACACAATGGAATATGCAAGTGTTATCACCAATACAGCAAGGTAAATCTTCATCTTTTTACTCTTTTAGTCGTAGTTATATTACTTGATTGCTGAAATGTTTTTATGATTTAATTTGCTTAATTCATTGATTAAGACTGATTGCTGAGTTGTGTTAGCTTTTGATTAGTTTTGTTTTGCTTCATTGACTGCTGTGTTTTGTTAGGTTTTATTAGGTAAAGATTTAAGTTTCATGTTACATGCTCTATTGTCTTGTTTGTATTAAATGCTTGTTAAGAAGCCCAATAGTGGAGACAAAGTGGGAGAATTGTTTAGATTTTGTCTTCCTTGTTCCGCCAATTCTGGGATCCCGTTTGAGCGCATTTTTTGTGTTTCCGATTCTCGTGTAAATATATAAGGTTTTTATATGGTTTGGAACCCAAAAATCTAATCATCTTCCCTCTTATTTTCTCTATTCCCCTAATCGTCTTCCCTCTTATTTTCTTATTTTCTCTATTCCCCTAATCGTCTTCCCTCAATAGAGGATCCACCATTAGACTATGTAAAAAATTTTAAAACTCTTTAAATGTAAAAAGTTTTGATTTTGTAGTATTTATATTATAAATATGGTTTAGACCCATGAGAGGGTATAAACCATTAAATGATGCTCTTACTGATGTTTTAGAGTTTTTATTTTGTTTCATTATACTCCCTCTATTTTATGAAGAATGTGATTCTATATTTTTTTATACATATTAAGAAAACTATTAAAAGCTCTATTATATCTTTTATTAACAAACTAATAAAATCATCTCTCTTATCAATACATTAACAAAAGGTTAAAATCAACTTTTACTCAAAATTATGTATTGGAAATACAAAACGACACTCTTTGTAAAACAAAAATAAAACTTTAAAACGAAACTCTTTGTGAAATATAGGGAGTATAAGATGTTTTAGAAGTTTGAATGCCAATATTAAATGTATTTCATATTTATGACTACTAGGTGTATGTAGCCACCCGTATGGTTTAGTATGGCTTGTTGTATATTTTTTTTATGCATTATTATTTCTAGGATTAGTAGTAGTGGAAGTTATATTTAGAAAATAAATGCATTTAAGGAGTTAAAATTTTTGTTGAATTATTAGGAAAACTATTCAAATTAGAAAATATGATCAATGTGATTTAAATCAAATAGTAAATGTATTTTAGTGGGGTTACGTGATGCTTTCTAATGATTTAGTATGAGTTACTAACTTTGATTTTACATTTTTTTGGATAAAACGTAAATGTATTTATCTACTTAACATTTTTGAAGTACAAATTTGCTCCTCTAATCGGGTCGGGTTTTTTTCCTGATTTTGACCCGGAAATCTTCAATCGGATCTTTCCTTAAATTATGGCAAAATTTAAAAACGAAAATACCTAATAAAATCTAAATTATATATATTTTCTCAACTAATTACTATATCTAAACTATTTATTTATTGTATATTATTTACAATTTTTATAGATTAGGAAATCAAATATGATAATTTAATGATAATATAACAAATTTGAGCTAATTTCCTAAAACCTCTCTACCTAATTTAAACATAAATATATGATTCTCATTTCACTTTTATTTGATCTTATATTTATATTATTTTGAATTATTATAAAATATATATAGTTAGTAAATTTTAGTTTTTTTTCTACATATGTTATGATTCAATTTTTTTAAAACAGACATATATTACTCAATCGATGAAGAAAAAAAGTATGTGTGTAATCTATGTTAACATTTTTTTAAGAACAAATTGCACATTTAATCAGGTCGTTTTTTTTATTCTGACCCGAAATTGAGTCATTCAGATCTTTCTTAATTTCTACAATTATCTAAAACGGGACAGTATACCACGGGTGAGATCCTAAAATTAACAAATCAAAATACAATTATTTAGTATTTTAAGATACAATTATAAATTGTTTTTACGGGTTGGTCTAAAAACACATACTAATTTTAAAATATATATATTATGAAAATCATTTGAAAGTAAACTTTTAAATTGACTCGAATTATATATCTTTTAAATAAAAGTGTTATTAAAAAAAATAACAAAATGATGTTTAATTCCACAGGACAGGAGTATATGGTGGGACGGGTTTGGGTCGATATTAATACGGGACAATATACCACGAGTGATATCCTAGAATTAACAAATCAAAATTTAATTATACAATCTTAAACAGTAAACAAAACAAATACAACTTAAATTTTTTATTTTTTATATACAACGCATGTGACCCGCGGTGTACAACAAAAAAATATCATACACAACAAATTCATCATTTTATTAAAAAAAATCAAATAATTAACCCGCGGTGTACCGCGGGTCATATCCTAGTTACTATGATATTCAGATTTACAATTTTGTTTGTTCATATAAAATCGCACATAAAGAATTTAATAGTTAAAATTTAAATCAATTTGCAAGTAACAAACTAAATTTGTTTTCTACAAAATCATATGAACTATAATTTAAAGCTTTAAAATAATCTTCAAAGATACTTCTATTTTTTTATTTCACTCAATTAAAATTCTAGACCAAGGTTCCATTATAATGATTTCATCTTTGTAGGATTTACATTGCTACGTTAGATTATCTATTTTTTAATTAAATATTTTTTATAGAAAATAGTTTGAAACCAGAAACCTTGAATAAAATACCTTATATGATTATCTTTTGGATCACAAAAACTAAAGGGAGACTCACAAAAATGCCCCTTTCTCAATACCCCTTTTCAAAAATGCCCCCTTTGGCTGTCCATTTTTAAAAATACCCCTTTTTATGTACAAAATGACTAAATTACCCTTCTTTTAATAAAAGATATTACAAATATATAAGGAAATATAACAAAATTAGGTCCACAAAATACAAAATATTTTTTGGCGGGAAAAGTGATCCCGCAATTTTTCCCGCCAAAACACTTGTAAAAACTTGTAAAACCTTTAAAATACCTTGTAAAATTTTCCCGTAAATTTTTTTCCCGCCAAAAAATTTTTTTTGCGGGAAAAGTGATTCCGCAAATTTTTTGGCGTTAAATTTTTGGCGGGAAAAATTTACAAGGTATTTTAAAGGTTTTTTAGAGGGTATTTATAAGGTTTTACAATGTATTTTAAAAGGTTTTACAACGTATTTATAAGGTATTTATAAGATATTATAAGATTTTACAAGCTATTTTATAAGGTTTTACAAGTTATAAGGTTTTACAAGTTTTTTATAAGGTTTTACAAGTTATAAATACCTTATAAAACCTTATAAGTAGCTTGTAAAACCTTTTAAAATACATTGTAAAACCTTACAAAACACTTGTAAATACTTTGTAAAACCTTTAAAATACCTTGTAAATTTTTCCCGCCAAAAAAAGTTCGCCAAAAAAATTGCGGAATCACTTTTCCCGCAAAAAAAAATTTTTGGCGGGAAAATTTTTTGGCGGGAAAAATTTTTACGGGAAAATTTTACAAGGTAGATTAAAGGTTTTTACAAGTGTTTTGGCGGGAAAATTGCGGGATCACTTTTCCCGCCAAAAAATATTTTGTATTTTGTGGACCTAATTTTGTTTCAAATAAGGGTAAAATGGTCATTAAAAATTAAAAGAGGGCAAACTTAAAAATGGACTCTCAAATGGGGCATTTTTGAAAAGGGGTATTGAAAAAGGGGCATTTTCAACAATTTCTCAAAACTAAATGTAATGATGGGTATACTAAATATGTTAAAAAAAATGAGAAATTGTTAAAAATGCCCCTTTTTCAATACCCCTTTTCAAAAATGCCCCCTTTGAGAGTCCATTTTTAAGTTTGCCCTCTTTTAATTTTTAATGACTATTTTACCCTTATTTGAAACAAAATTAGGTCCACAAAATACAAAATATTTTTTGGCGGGAAAAGTGATCCCGCAATTTTTCCGCCAAAACACTTGTAAAAAACCTTTAAAATACCTTGTAAAATTTTCCCGTAAAAATTTTTCCCGCGAAAAAATTTTCCCGCCAAAAAAATTTTTTTGCGGGAAAAGTGATTCTGCAATTTTTTTGGCGAAATTTTTTTGGCGGGAAAAATTTACAAGGTTTTTTAAAGGTTTTACAGAGTATTTACAAGTGTTTTGTAAGGTTTTACAATGTATTTTAAAAGGTTTTACAAGGTACTTATAAGGTTTTATAAGGTATTTATAACTTGTAAAACCTTATAAAAAACTTGTAAAAC